TTTCCTGAAATTTAAAATCATTGAGTGTACAGGCATTCTTCATGCACATAAACATTCTGCATAAGTGGCAGTAACATGGTCTGGCATAGTGTCCCTACTGTCTACTTTTATATAAGAAAGGAGAATGAAACATAATATTGAATAAAGTCTCCAACTGCCTTCTGTCAGCTTCATTTTGGAAGCAGCTTGCAAACTCCTCTGTGGATGATAGTATTTAAATAGGTAGTTAGCCATGAGGAAGAGTTTTTGGGTTCCTGTTATATTGTTTTTTCCCAAGGATAATCAAATAAGGACTATCTCTATATTCTATTCTTCCAAGCTAAGCAGCAGTGTTTTATTTACTTAATGAAAGCTGAAATCTACTTATGTTGACCAGATTGCTGCTTTTCTTTTAATACCATGCCTGCTCTTAACCTCGTTTTATTTGGAGAGTATCCCTTAATTAATTCCACTTTATAGATTCAGAGGAGGACATGGAAGGACCTGAGGTGCATCACTGGTGGATGGGACGTGCCTGGGACCTGCCCACTCTCCTCCCAGCAGCAAAGGCAGGAGTTTGCAGCACAGCCAGTGATGCTCCTTACTCAGTTTTTCACCCATGATTTTTTATTTCCAGTTGCCATTTCTGTGAAGCTGTCAGTGCTGCTTGGTTTTAAGTGGCACTGCTTTGGGCAAGGGGGATTTGGGCGCCACTGGCTCGGGAGCAGTCGTGATGTCATTTGCAGGAAGTTGTTTTCCTGCCTGCAGATCCTTTCTGCTGAGTGTTTTGTTGTCAGGGAAGGGTAAGATTTCCAGTAAAGTTGCAGCTCTTTTTCTGAGAAGAGGTGAAATGAGCTGTCCAGTGCCTTTAGCAGCTCTGCACTGTGACTTTAATGGGAGTTTAGGTGGCTGTCATTGAGATGTTGGCTGTGCCATCAGGAGGTTTGTCACTTGTTTCCCTGTGAGCCATCCTGACAGATGACGTGAGATGAGACCGTGCAGACACATCATCAGCATTGCTAATGAGCTGACCTTCTCCTCTTCATCCTTTTCATTTGTATTTGAATAATTTGCATCCCTGTATCGATGCTCACTTGTCTGAGGAGCTGTCACAGTGGCTTGGGCTGCTTTCGTGACAAAACCCAGTAGTTTCAAAACATGGTTGTTTCATTATTCATGAAAACTGTTGTTGCTTTATTCCTCCTCCTGCTCAGACAAGTTTGGCCATAGAGAAACAAAACCTGTTTTGCCTTTGCAGGATTGGATATTTAATTTTTTTTTTTTTTTTTTTTTTGCATAATGCAGTGTTTTTATACAAATATCTCATCATTTATTGAAAACTCATCTAGTAGAAAATTTATATAGCTCCCCATGAGGCAAAGAAGTTAAAATGGAATTCTAGTCCCTTTTCCTGGAACAAGTTTATTTCTGAACTTTTGAGTTTTAAGATCTTCTCTGTTTTCCCTGATATGTAATTACTGTGAAGGGCAAGGAACAGGTGCCCTTGCACAATGTGAGCTGTCATTATCCTGGCTGTTTGCAACAAATTGAATGCCCGTTTCAGACTGAATTGTCTATTTTTACCTTTTTCTGTATAGATCCATAGATTCTTGTATATCACAACAAGCAAGGACAAATTTGGGGAGAGGTGCAGAGAACTCTTGACAGGAAACAAGTCACAAAGTAACTGCAGAAGACAGCAGAGAATTATTTCTTTGGCTAAAACACATTTCAGTCTCATTATTCTGATGCTCAGCCCAGTGACAAAGTTGGTGATGTTAAAAAGCTGCTTTTCACTGCCCTCCCCTTCCTCAGGGTGAGGTCCATGTGATCTCTAGAGATCACTTAGAAGTTGAAAAAGATCCTTTTTTCAGCTGGTGGTTGCAATTCATTGTCCAGCTTATCCATTTTCTCATTCCATCAGCTGGCTCTGGGAATTGTTTGTCCACTGGTTAACACCTCCCCAGTGAAATGCATCTCTTGAGATGGGAGAAATCTTTGTATTTAAAAAGAAAGTGAAGAAGCTGGGTTTGAGTAGGGGTACGTTTTTCAGGATGAATGACTGATTTAGGTTATGGTATTTATATTTTGTTTTGATTCTTGTGCAAAGCCTTCCCATGTACTACATGTTCCATAGGCTGAGGAAAAAATACTGAAGCAACATTACAGATAAAAAAAATGCAGAGACAAAACTTAATATTTTTAGCACAAGAGGAAGCAGAATACACATGATAAAAGGCAGATACTTTTAAGAAAAAGAGCAAGGATTTAATTCTGTTGTGCTTTGCTTTGAGAGGAATTATAGTCTTGAAACATTTTATTTTATCTCTCTTTATTGCTTTCATATATCCTACCTAGAGCTGTGTTCATAGTACTGTTTTGTGGGATATTTTTCTCTCTGTAGTTCTGTTTTACTCAGACTCTTCACTTTCTAGCTGGCAAGTGTGTCACCGGGGGTGTTTTTGTAGCTACTCATGTGACATGAGGTGCTACTGTGCTAAATACAGTATAAACATTATAAATAAAAACATAGTTAGAAGATTTGAAAACTTAGTAGAGTCTCTGAGTACTGAGAGCCCCGTTTACTAAAGTTTTCCATAACTTAGAGCTTAATAAAAGTTACTTCAAGCAGAAATACACAATGGAGAGTTAAGAGCAGTCTAGGCTGTGTTCCTAAAGCTGATGTGGATTTATTGGAGGCTGTTGGGGTACAAAGTGCTTACATGCATATTTAATTTCCAGACAAAAATTACTATACTGACCATAATGCCAGCAATGATCCTGCAACAGAGGAATGCAATCTGAATGATGCAGTTGCATATTAAATATTGTTAGGCAGGTACATATTTCTCAAATATCAATCACTTAGAAAAGTGCAGCACTAATTAGATGGGAGCTGTTTTCCTGGTCCCTTCAGAGATGGATTCTAAATACTTCTGACTGTTCAGAAGCAAAGGCAATTTGTTAAAATAAGGCCATAGGAAATCAACTATATATATATTTCTGTGAGAATATCAGCATTATTGTGTATATCATAGAAATCAAGTACTGGGTTTGCATCTGCTCGTGTACCACAGAGGGGTGGAGTGATCTCGGAAACAAAGACTGAAATTCAAAACATTCCAGTTGTGTTGTTCATGTGCATTGCCTGTGCAAAATCCAGGAAACCTATCCTGCCATTGCAGAATCAAATCATACTTCAATGCCAGTAAGAATTGATGTTGTTAGTCATAGTTTCAGGCCTGGTAATTTTTTTCAGAATCCACTCTTCAGATTGTATCTGGGTGTTTTTCATTATGGTCTTTATTTCTGGCTTGAATTTGGCAGTTACTGTGATCCACTTTTATAACTCATCTTTAGCTTTTGAATATGCCCAGCACTTGATGGATTCTGCATGCAAATGAAGAACTTCTAATGATCTCTTGCTGCATTAAAAATAGCCAAAACAAAACCCCCCTTAGAGAGGAACAGATTAATTCCTCCGCCTTTGGGATGTGAGGATCAGCAAAGATGCAGGCTGCAGAAGTGGGAGCTTATAGAAACCTTTGCCTGAATGCTATATTTGAACTTTTTTTGTCATAAAATCATAGAATGCTTTGGGTTGGAAGGGACCTTAAAGGACATTTAGTTCCACCCCCCTTCCATGGGCATGGAGACCTTCCACTAGAATGCTGAAGGGGAAACTTCAGAAGCTTCTCCTGAGATATCAGTTTTTGCTCAGTGTTGATAAAGCTTATTTGAATTCACCTTCTCACTGCAAACTTCACAAGCTCTAGATAATTCCTTGTAATTGCCATCTATTTTCACCCAGTTTCTTTTGGGGTCAAGATTCTTTTGAATTAATGAGAATTATAGAAAATATTTTCTGGTCTGGAGAGATTTCAAAGCTCTTTCTTGTTGACATTTGTTACTGGTGTTTTCCTTTTGGCAACATTCATGGAATATATTTCCCTCTTTATATGGAGAAATAGATAAAAGGATAATAGTAATCCTGTGTTTTGTGAAATGCCCTTCCCAGCTTCTTAGTTTGCAGTTGCATTTCATCCTGAATGGTTTTCAAAGCTGTTGCTTGGTCTCCTTAAGTGCAAAGTCATCTCAAGAGCAATATATTTTAATTCTTCCCTAATTATTTTTCTATTTCAGACAATTCAGGAAATTAAAGCTGTTTTGGCAGCATAGTATATTAGATCTTCCATAACCACATTTCATGTGATGTGAGCTGGTCTAAATTCCCTTTTATATTAGATTAGTGATTCTAATTTAACATATCAGTACTTAGTATGCATTATAGTGTACTATATTTAATTTGATTACCTTTTCTGCCTTACCGTACATTTAATAAAGCAATTATTTAACCATTTGCTACCAATGAATTTTACTGTGATATTGAAATTAATATGGTCTGTAATTCACGAAGATGCACAAAGCAGGAGAGAAGTGTCCAAGGGCCACATTAAGACCCTGCTTCTGTTATATTTTGTTTTTCCTTCCTGAGTTTTGCAAGGAAAAGTGAGGAAGTTGCCTTGTGAAACCAATGGCCTCTCTAATGTGTTACAGTTCACTTCAGGAGACACTTTCATATATAATATTCTGCTTCCCTTTTCTATGGGTTGGTATTAATAAACAACTTTAAATAGAATATTCTTCAGCTTTTGGCCCAGTCTTGTTACTGTTTTCAGCAAGTCTTGAGCACCTACCAAGAGTGGGGCAGGTGAACCTCTGCAGAACCACAGTGAGGTCATCTGCTTGCAACTGCAAAATGAATGTCTTGTGCACCTCTCACAAAGTCATCAAATGTTGATTGATGATTTGTAAAACATTTTTACCATCAACAGGCTTAGACTTCTGTTTTCAGTAGCATAAACCATATGGTTTCTATATCACTGAGTACAGACTGGCTGCCACTGAAACCAATATACTGACATCGTATTGCCTGTGTTCACAGTGTCTGCAGTTTCTGCAGAAATAATATCAGCAAGAATGATGATGTTGGCTTTTTTCTTTCTTTTCCTTTGCTACAGCATGGCTATCCAAGTGGACAAGTTCAATTTTGAGAGCTTCCCAGAATCCCCAGCTGATGGGGCACAGTTGGCGAATGCAAAGCAGCTGGAAGAAGAAAGGCAACAAGCAAGAGGCCTGGAGATTAACAGCAAGCTGGATATTTGCTGGAAAATTATATCCTTTCATAAATACTTGCTTTAAAAGTACATAAATAGATGCCCTCTGATACATTTTATTTTATAATTCAACTCACTTCGTGGCAGTGTTACTGAAAAGAAAAGTAATTAGAACTGTGAAGCTTATCATAATTATAGACTGTTTGAGGTTAATTGTGCTGTATATTATTTAGGCAATGCTTGGGTCATCCTATAATGGCTTTTTCTGAGTCACTGGGCATGTCATAAATCCTGTGTGTTTTTCCCAGCTTTTAGGGAACTGAGGAAGTGTAGTTAGGATTGCTGAGTAGTAGATTCATGGGGTCAAATTTTTCTGTTCTCTCCCACACCGAGTAACTGAATCATGAAGAAATTAATGAAGCTAGATTTAGAGAGTTTGCATATATTTAATTAAATTTGGGTAAATTAGAACATATTAGAATAATTTATTTCCAAGTCCTCTCTATAGATTTAGTAATGTATCTAATCTTAGGTAGCTTTTTAAGGCTTAGACAGGACTTGTGTGATGACTTAGTCATTCTAAGCATAAAATCCCCACAATAATTCTAAATGCAGTAAAATATTGCCTTATGATTATTAATAAGAAATAGCATTCAGTTTAGAGTTAAAATAAACCAATGGTGTTGCTATAAATTTCGTGATTTCTATAAAAAAATCTTGTGCTTGGCTTGTCAAAAATACACTTTCTCATGATTTTCTTCAGGAAACATTCTGTACAGTAAACAGTCCCCCAAGCCATGTGATGGTACTCAGCACTTCCCTGGAGATTTATATTTTTCACTCAGATCATCCTTGAATTCACATGATAGGGGGTGGCAGAAGATGAGAGAAGAATGGCAATCAAATCGTGCTTGATCTGTTTGTAATTTTAATTATACTTTAATCCAGTGATCTGAAATGATGTTTCATTACTAATTATTGTGAGGAAGAGCTTTGTACTGTGAGGGTGGCTGAGCACTGGTACAGGGTGCCCAGAGAGGCTCTGGAGTCTCCTGCCCTGGAGATATTGAAGATCTTTGCTCTGGGGACCCTGCTTGAACAGGGGGTGGACAAGATGACCTCCAGTGGTCCCTTCCACCCTTAACCATCGTGTGATGATTAAATCAGATCAGGATTTGTCAAAGGCAAGGCTTGAGACATAAATGAGATTCCTAATGCCTGGTTCAGTCCAGACTCCCCAAGCAACATTTCGGAGAGCTCCTTTTATGCAAAAAATGTCAATATTTAACCAGAACTCACTTAGAAAATGTCTGTGTTATGGGAGGATATAAATATTCTGTGATAGCACAGATGAATTCTTACACTGGAATTGAGTGCACAGTTGTAATCATTTTGTCAAGGTGTAAAAATTCATCCTCACTCATTCCAGTTGCTGGGCAACACTGTTTACATCCATTCTGTGTTCTGGATTTAACCCCAGTTTTGATCCCAGTTTTGGTCAGTACCTTGGACACCAGTAGAACAGTGTGTGAGTTCTGTGTGTTAAATTCAGTGCAATCATTAATTTCTGTATTTTTAATACTTGTCATGATTTTTCTCTCTGTTCCAGGAACTAAAACTCACCTAATTAATGAAAGGCAACAAGTTTCACAGGTGCTTGAAAATCCTTGAAGAAATTTGTACATTCTTTTCCAGGTGTCATGTCCTAACTAGAGTTAGTCTTTCCCATAGCATTGTAGAACCATGAATGTTGGAAAAGTTACCAAAATACCTCCAAAATCATCAAGTCCAAACTTGAACCAAATACCACCAACTAAACCACAGCACTGAGTGCCACCACACTGAGTCCTTTCTTGAACACCTCCAGGGATGGTGACCCCACCACCTCCTTGGCCAGTTCCTTCCAACCTTGACAACCCTTTCCATAAAGAAATTCTTCCTTATGTGCTACCTGAACCTCTCTGGCTTCATCCTTTTATTTCTTGCAGCAATATTTAGATGTAAACCAGTTGCTAAAAAATATTATACTCTCCATTCTGCTAAGTGTAAGAAACTTGATTTCTGAGATATTTTTCTCCCATCAGAGTAATTGGACACAGGTCAGGAGAGTTGATGCTGATGGACAGACAGGCAGAGAAATGGATGGATGGTTCAGCTGCTTTAGCTTTGTCTTCCTTCAGGACTCAGCCTCAGTGCAGCCAAGAGAGGAACAGTATTTGCAAAATGACAAAGGGGTAGAATTACTGAGATTTCCTCCTAGAGGAGGCATTTTTGCAGGTCTCTTGAATAGTAATTCCAAGTGATCCCTTTGTTATCCATCATCTCTGAACTACTTAGAGCTCCCCAGATAACTTTTCTGATCAGATAACAACTGCTCAGATAACTCAGAGCTCCCCAGATAACTTTTCTGTCCTGACTGTGTGCATGGCATGGGAAGGGATGGTCTGAGGTGAGTTAATGTCACAGAATCTGCCCTGAGGTGTGACCCAAGGCCCCTGCCAGGTGCTCATACCAGGACTTGCAAAAGCATCTGGAGGAGAAAATAGAGTGTGCACAGGGAATTATTAGGAAAAGAGGGATGAGACAATTGACAATTTGACCAAGGACAGAGTTGTCCAACAGACTGAGGTGCTGTGTGTTTGTTACAGACCACCCAAACAAGAAGCAAACCTGGATGAACTTTAAGGACTGGGAGATGTCTTCCAGTTGCAGATGAGCTTATTTCTGAAATACTTTCAGGGCAGTTTTTGTGTACAGGTGGTGGATGGTTTGATTTGGTAGGTGCTGTGCAGATCTGCTCCCAGAACAAATGATCCAGCTGCACTGTTTGAAGTTTGGCTGCAGCTGTCCTGAGGTGATGGAGCTCAATATCCAGAGGGAAGTGAGGAAGGCACATGGCAGGATAATGACTCCAGACTTGAGCAGAGGAGAACTTGGGGAAGGCAGGATTGGGAGGGATGCTGGGTCTTTTCCCAGTGAAGCTTCTGGGCCTCCAGGAGCAGCCTCCTCAAAGCCTGGGAGCTACAGCAGTCAACAAAGTTCATCTGACCCTTGGAGCAAGGTGTGTCATGAGGAGACTGCTAAATTCCAGTTAGGTACTAGGAAAATTCCTTTTCACAATGAGGCTACTCAGATACTGGAACAGGTTGTCCAAAAGTGCTGTAAATTGCTGTCTTTGAAGATGTTAAAAAATTCCGGACAATGCCTTGAACAGCCTGGTGCAATTTCAGTATTTTCCATGCTTTGAGCACAGGGCTGGACAGTGACTGGAATTGCCTTTCAATATAAATTATTCTGTGATTTGTGCAGCTGGGCAGAGGGCTGGGTCAGAGAATGACTTCTGAAAACGAAGCTCTTTCCTTCATCCATCTTCTGCTATCCCCAGGTTTGATTGCAGCCAGAGAAATTTTCTAATGTACTGTGAAGGAATTGCTATTTCAGTGAAATGAGACTATAACATTTTGGGGTCATTTTCTTGAAAATATTCTAAACCTGGCCCTAACAGCCTTTAAAAAATGAGACAGACTTCCAGTGCCACCTTAAATATCATGTTCCATATTTAACTTTTTTAATAGTTAGACTTTTTTTTCCTTACTTCAGCCTTAATATCTCTGATGTATAGGAAGTCTGTCCTATTTGCAATGTTCCCTTACGTTTTTTGAATTGTATTTTGTGCCCCTTCCTCAGTTTGTTTCCCATATTTAAACCTAATTGCCAAAATTTCTTTCAAAGCACATTTTCTTTCAGTCATATTGCTGATTTTGTCCTGCACTGCAGGTCTATTTTTCTCAATATGTGGGATCCAAAGCTGGAGGCAATTCTGCAGGTGAAATTTCTCACAGAATAAAATTGGACCTTCCAGGTTTCAGAGGTGATGTTTTCTCTGAGAACTTTTCTTTAATTCTATTGTCTGATTTTTTTTTTCATGTGGTCCAGCATAACTGACTGAATTATTATTCCCAGCTTTCATTTATAGATTTGTTGATTTCTTCTAGGATGGCACTTGGGACTTTTCATCATTTCATCTCAATGATCTTCATAAATTCCACTCATTTGTTAAGTTTGTGAACACTGCCATCTTTTCCAAATACATTAAAATTATGAATGTTTTTGTATTTCATCATGGAAGCAGCCAATCAGGATTTTGAAATTATTATCTATCAGACAGAACCTTGAGTCATCTCATTTGCTTCACAGCAAATTACTGATAACTCTTATTGAAATTCACTTTTCTGTGTCTATTCCACTTTTGATGACTTTATCTTGTTCATAAATATGAATCATCAGCTATGAGAGTATTACATCTTGTGGAACTTCTGTGCATCAGTAAAGGTTTCTTTAAATTTCTATGCTGCTTCTTATTGTTTGCAAAAATAACTATTATTTAAGACCCTAAATAACTGCTTATAATTAGTTCTAATATTAAAATTCGACAATAATAATCAAGGAGAAAGCTTAAAATAGGAATAAGGCAACTGCTGTAAGTAAAATATGCAATTCATGCAGATTTATTTTTAATTAGTATAATTCTTATTTATGAACATTTGCTATATTTTATGATTATGTGCATTCTCCCACCTGCATTTATTTGCAAAGGACATATGTATTGGAAATAATTTCTTTTAGGATGCAAGATGTGGAGTGCTGTAGGGAGAAAAAACATGAATAATTTCCAGATAGGAGCCATTTTTTAAAACCAATTGTCTTTTTAAGCAGTAGGTTTTAGGTAACAGACCGTGTTCCAATTGTGAGTACCCAGCTACACAGGAGACAATCCAGAGAGTGTAAAAGACCAAAGTTTTCCCTGGGGAAATAACTGGTTCATTTGACTGTCATTTAGCTTTTGGTATGAAACAGTTTATATCATATTCAATCTGTTGCCACAGAAACGTGAAATAAGGGTGTCAACTGTGAAAAATTAGGTTTTTAGGTTTGTTTTGATTTGTTTTGTTTTTTTTTTTTAAACAGCATCTGGTGGTTGTGTGTTTGTTAGCTCTGAGGCCCCCACTGGGGCTGATTTGATTGTGCAGATGAAAATATCTTGAGCTGTTAAATGTGAACTGTGGTGCTGGAAGCTTTAAGTCAACTTTTTTAATCCTGGCAGATTCTTGTGTTGTTAATAACAAAGATTTAACTTTAGGAAGGGAGGCCTGGGTCAGCAATGTGGCTCCAAAAGAAGAGCAGGTTTGTGATGGCAGTGAGACCTCAGCAAAATGTGTGGAGATTTGGTTAAGCAGATAAATTCTGCAAGGTCAGACTTCACCTTGGCAGCCTGTACTCGTGTTTATCTGGGCAGTCTTTTTCAATGAATTTTAAATCCTGGATCTTACACTTGTGCCTTTTATCATCTTTGACTTTGAGCTAAGAATAAAAGGGTATCTTGGCAACCCCTGTTCAACTCCTTTGCTTTCATTGACTTCTAAAGGCTTTGTCTTAGGCAAACTCTGGAGTTAAGCTTTTCTCTCTTTTATATTCTCTTATTGCATATTTTGGTCGCTTTTCATCTCCAAGGTAATGAGTTTGTTGCAATTTTCAGTTTTGTATTTGTCCTATAGTGAACAATTTAATGTAATTGCCTGACAGTATAGTCAGGAGACAGAGATCAGTGAGATGGAATTCCATGATCCAGATCCCTCTGTAGGTCCGTGTGAACAAATAAATAAATCCTTTATGTGTTTATTCCTTTCTGTTTTAACAACTCCACTTCTTTGGTTGCATCTCAGCCTTACCTTTCCCTCCTTTGCCACCAGGCTCCTCTCTGCTGCTTCATTCAATGATCTCATTAGACAAATTCAGTTTATTTCATGAGTCAAATAATCTCTGCATGGCCTAACCATTTAAATGCTGCATCTTTCTTTCACATAGAATTGTGAAAGTTGAAATTTCTCATCAGTTCTACAATCCATAGCCATGTATCTAAGATAAACCAATACATCAATTTGTTTGAAAAATAAAACAAATAAGACCCTGAACCTCCAGAATTAATCTACAAGAACATTCACTGAGCTATTTCTTGTCTATAGAATTCATTTTGCCACTAGATGACAATAAGCAGTGTGCTAAAAATGAGCTTGGTGCTTGTGACAGAATAAGGAAATTTATTTATCTGAAAATTTGGGCTGTGAAGGCTTAAACTACTTTTGGGTTAGGACATAATTTTGTTCTCTGGTAATCAGTTTGTGGGTTTTTCTGGTTTTTTTTTTTTTTTTTTTTTTTTTTTTTTCTGTTGTTGTTTGTTGGTTTTGTTGTTTTATTTTGGTTGTTGTTTTTGTTGCCCCCTCCTTTTTTTTTGTTTTGTTTGGGGTTTGGTTTTGGAGTTTTTTAAAGCATTTTTTAGCTTTTGCAAAGAGCCATTCAGTTTGATTTCTAAGGTTTTTTTTTGAAATGTGTGACCAGAAAACCACCAATAGTATTGGAGAATGGTTCAGGCTGGAAGGGACCACAGTGGGGTCACCTGGTGCCACCTCCCTGCTCCAGCAGGGCCATCCCAGAGCACAGGCACAGGATTGTGTCCAGACAGTGCTGGAATATCTCCAGGGAGGGAGACTCCACTCTGGGCAATCTTGTCACTGCACAGGAAGAAATTATTCCTGATGTCCAGGTGGACATTCCTGGGATCAGTTCCTGCCCGTTCCTCTTGTGCCATTGCCTGGTCCCTGCTCTGAGCCCTCCCTGCAGACACTGACAGGGATGAGGTCCCCTCTCAGTTTTCTCTTTTAAAGGCTGAACAGCCCCAGCTCCCTCATCCTTTCCCTGCCAGAGGGATGCTCCAGCCCTTTCATTTTGTTGTCCTGCCCTGGCCCTGCTCCAGGAGCTCCACATCTCTCCTGTCCTGGGGAGCCCTGGCTGGACACAGCACCCCAGATGTGCCTCACTGCCTCCTGTGCTTTTATGTTCCAGGAGGAATATTCTACCTCTGAATACATGGATCTGCTTTGGTAGCATTTGGCAATGATAACGAAGGGAAAATCACCTGTTTTATTATAATTTTATAGTGTTAGTTGAGACATTAAGCTTTTCATGAAGCACTAAACAGTGAAAATTTGTGATATTCCAGGCACCACTGTGAGTCTGTTGTAAGTAAATTACATTAAAGTTAGTTTAATGTTACAGTTAATGGCAGCCACTCTGTTCTAAAGCATCTTTTAAATACTGCCTTTTTATTAGTGTTTTCTCTCACTTACAGTCCTTAGATTAAAGATGTGATAACAGAATTATTTATCTGCTGTATCTGTGAAGTAATTCAAATTATTCTCTACCCTCTAGTGTGTTTTATGGAAATTATTGAGTTGTGCTGGTGTTCTGAGTCTCATTTTTCAGCAGCAGCACTATTCTAAGGTGATATTCTGCTGCCTTCAGTTTTCCAAATAGATGCTTTTCTTTAATGGTGTTTACAGCTTTCAGACTCTTTGGGGTTTGTGAATTCTTTATTTGTGGTCTCTTTAGGAGAAAAAAATAAGGTGCTATTTATGACATATTTCTGGGCATAATGAGAATATTTTTAAAAAATAATGGCAAGAATCCTGCACTTGGTATTGATTTTCCACTTCTATCATCTCTGAGCTCTTGAGTCTCAATCACTGTTAGATTTGTGCTTGTTCTGAGCTTTCAAGACTTTTCTTTAAATCTCCTGGAGACCCTGCAAGACTATGTCCTGTGGTAGAAATTAGTTGTCTGCAGTGCTTGTTAATTTTCTTTTAACTGCCACAGGTGAATCTATACTTCAGCAGTCAGATGCTGTGTGTCCATCTCCAGAGTTTACAGAAATGGGACTGATCACATTTAGAAGCTGTTCATAAAAGCTCAGATATTTTATTTTGTCAGTACTTTTTGAGGACCAGGGTTCCAGTACTTTTGGAGTAGTTGGCTGAAATCTTGATGAACTTCACCAGGAGCTTATTCTTTAACTGTGGTGGGACACATGCCTGGATACAAGATGGTGCTCACATCTGCATGTGCTTCCAAGCCCTGTGAATCCAGTGCCTTTCTGCAGTCAGGGAATTAGAAAAAAGAATCCAGCACTCTTCCTGTTACAAATAAATGTTATCTTGATTGACTCATCAAACAGAATTATTATTATGACATTGGATATTGTCTATGCTTTTATTTTAGCACTTGTGTAACCTGTTTTGAAGCCCTTTTAAAAGGGATTCTTTTGTCCACAACAGTTTATTTCGGTGCTCTGCTGTCCTTAGAGTAAGAAAAATTTTCTAATTTGTTCTCTTTTCAGTCTGGGCCTGTTTCTGAGCTCATGCAGGGTAGAAAGGGGAGCTGGAGGTTCTGTGCCTGTGGTTCTGGTCTGATGTTTGCCCTCAGTAATGACACTGCCACTGTCCAATATCCCATGGAACTGGCACCAAGTCTGCAGTCAGGGCTGTCCTGGCAGACATTTGTTCTGTTTTCTGTTGCCCTGTTAAATTTTGTTCTGTTTTCTATTGCCCTATCAAATTTTAACCTCTTTGTTTTCAGATTATTCTTGATTTATCATTCTGAATTCTCATCCTGCACCACATACTTAAAGGTTTTGCATTTTTGCTGCTCCCAGATTTTTTTACCCTTGTGTTTTATTATGGTTCAAGTATATTTTACCTTTGCTTTAACCATCCTCAGTGGAATTAAATTTTAATTTTCAGAAGATATCAACTGCTGTGCTTTTACTGTTGGTCAATTGATGGGTTAATAAACCATATTAATGAATCTGTAGATGGAAGTTTTGATTTGCAATAATAAAAGTTGTCACATACCCTTTTCCTCTCTGAAACAAAATTTTCCTTAATTCCAATTTACCCTTCCTTGAAGCGTGAAGGGGAGGCCAGTGTGGAAGGGGTTCTGAATCAGCTGGTCCTGGAGCATCTGCAGTTGGCTCCTCTCCAGTGGGGTGAGTGCTGTCAGAATGGATTGGTGATCTTTTATACAGAATCTACTGGCTTGTAATTTTCAGCAGCATGAGAAGAATGATAATGTTTTCACTTACTGACAGTCTGTGATAGCAAAGAATTTGATAGGAACTTTATTTTCCTTTAGGTGTTTTACTTAGCTGAAGATAAATGTAGAATTGATATCTGTTTTAGTTTAAGTACCACTGTTGGTTGATAGTAAATAGGAAACCTGACTGTGCACTTTTTCCTGTAATTCTCAGTTCTGGTTGTCTTGTATGAGAGGTGGCTGCTACTTAAATTTCCTCTTTTTCTTACAGTGTGTGTTTTTAAAGTAATTTCTCTGATTTTTTTTTCATATGAATGGTAATGTTCTTGTGATATATTTCTTATTAAGGTCCAGACAATTGCATTACTAACTTTTGAGATGCAGAAAATATTTTTACTCTGGGTAGCACAGAAGAATTACTTGCCCTGATTTTCCATTTAGAATGATGTTCCCACAATGAAAAACTGAATCAATTTAATTTTGAAGAGTCATAATAATGCAACTTCTGTCTGAGGTTCTCAACAAAGCTTGTTCAGAGGCTTTGGAACATGGGATGTTTCATCCCCAACACTTCCATGTGAGTTGCAAGTTTCAGGTAAAGTCCCCAGATCATCAGCAAATTGTTGCTAAAACCTTTGCTTTTAAAGCAAATTTAACTCTCTGCTTCATATTTTAATTCTTTGATGACCTAGTGAGGAGCAACTTTAAGGAGCAATGATCCATCACTATTGCCTGTGTTAATTATTAAAATTGAAATGACCCCAAACTCCATTATTTGTGTACTCTTTTAATTCTTTGGTCTTTTTCAAGTGTGTTGACCACCCTCAGCTCATATGTTAAAACCTGTGAGCACTTTGTGTATAAATAAGAAGATTAAAAATGGTTTAAAGTATTTTGTTGTAAGTATGTCCAACTTTAGCCATAATCAGCTACTTCTGAAATCAAGCCTGGTCTCAGTTCTTCAGAGGATTCAAAGATTTGGCAACATTTTTAGTATGATTGATGGGATTTGGCCATGATTGCCCTGGACCAGTAAAACCAGTGGTTTGTGTCAGTGGTTTGTGTGTTCTGAGCTCAGTGGTCACTTTTGGCTCTGCTGAGTGGCTTTGACCATCAGCAGGTTTCTAACCTGGGCTCTGTGGTGAAAAACCTTCCTTTGGATCTTCTGCATAAGGCATCACTGTAAGGATGGAAAACGTGTGTTTCTTCTTTCCCTGCACCCTTGGTTTGCTCCTTTTAATTCTCTTTATGCCAAATTCCACTGTTTTCTTAGGAAAAGAGGCTTTTTGAGTCATAGAATTGTGCCTGGCATTCCTGCCTCAATAGTGATCTTTGATGCCCTGGTTGAAAAACATGAACATAGCACTGATTTACAACAAAATCTCCTGTGGAGTTGGTTATTTCTCATGCTGCTGATTAATTCACTTAAAGAGTCCCAGTTACTTGAGTTTTCAGCCAGAACTCTGTGATATTCTCTGCTTCATAGCTGCAAAATCTTTTGAAGCACAGCCTGTTGACTGATGGTGTTGTACATTTTAATTTTCTACACTGAGCAAAGCAGGGAAAGGGAGATCCTATGGGATATTGAATGCTTGGTTTGCTACCACTTTTATATTATATCTCCTAGTGGAAATTTCAGTTTTGCAGAAGTCTACTTAACTTTCTTTGTTTAATTTTTCCCAGTCCTAAACTGTTAATGAATATTATCAATTTTATAACACGCAGAGTATGTCCATATGGAAGCTGTAGCTTACTGCAGAGATTATTGAAAAGGACATTTTGGTTAAATGGCTGATTTTACTTGGAAACGAGAGCAAAAATTGAAAATTAATGACAATGGAGACATCTTAGCTTCTTCTAGTTCACCATATTTTGGAATATTCAGCAGTTAAATCTTTGGTAGTGTTGTAGCCAGGTAACCCTACCTGCAGCTCCTGCAGTCCCTCCAGACTGTACCATGGCAATACAGGAGGATTTTGTCTTTAATAATGTGTGGGATGTGGGAGGAATTAGGAGATTGCTATTATTGATTGGTGGGTGGGAGTAATGAGGAGCTGCTGAAATGTTTGGACAGCCAGGGGATGTGTGTGCCATGTACAGGCACTTAGACAATGTCACACACTGTCTTTTGGACTTAAATTCGCTTTCAGGGCCAGAATACATTTCCTATTCAATTCTTACAGGCATGGAAACATGTTAAGAGTTTAAAATACTGTAATACTGTAGCATCAGCTGGATTTTTTTTTCTTTTAATCATTACACTGTTTGTATTTACAACCTGGCTTTGCTTTGAGTTTTGTTTTTCTGTATGTTAACAATAACTTGTGTTTTAATATGAACTCTTTACTACTGGCCATCATTGTAACACAGCCTTTGCATAAATTGGCTAAAAATTTGGCTTAGTTTCATGCAATAAAATTGATTCTATGATTATTCAAGGAGTTTGCTACACTGCTGGTCACATTGAAGGGTTTACTTTATTATAAGTGCTCACAGTGAAACATGAATGAATATTTAACATGGTTTTGATTAAAAAAATGACTGGCTCTTATTCAAATTTGTAGAAGCTGTACTCCAACACTCCTTTTAAAATTGGCATATTTAATTCATATAAGAGTTAATATTACATCTCTAGAATTATGAAAGCATATTGAAATAATTTTTCATGTAAATTTGACAATCCTGTCCTTTTTTCATTAAATAGAAGGCAAAGAGTAGAATCAAAAGTTGGTGACATTGAAATTTTAGTCTGAGGGTAAGAAGTTACCTTTGAAATTTGTCATAGAGAGGGGAAAAAAGTGGTCTGTAGTGAAGACTTTGTTTTATAATTTAATGACTGGGGAAGGGAAAAGTATTTAAAACATGAGGAATCATAAAAAAAGAAAATACTTCAAAGGCTGGAGTGAGAGTTCTTAATGTGTTGTTAGAATTGATTTTAAGATTTAGGACATCTCAGTAAAATGAAGTTGTCTGTGAGGCAGGTGAGTAAATCACATGTAATTGAAAAGCATCATCTTGTTCAACACCAGCAGCTTCAATGTTCTCTAAAATTTATGACATATTTTCTTTTTACAGCTGGGCACCAAACCAAATGTAGGCATAGATGTGGTTTTGAGGTGAATACATTAATTCCATCAAATCAAGGAAACAGAGCCTGCAGAGTGTAATGAGGAGAACCAAACCTCCTCAAAGGCCTGTGCCATGCTGGGGTTGGAAATGATCTGATGGAGTCATCTGTGGCTGCTGCCTGGGCAGGGCTTTTTCAGTCTTTATTTGATTTATGCCACTGACTGCAAGCAGGAGAAATCCCAGGACAGAACACTTCTCAGTTTTGATGGTGCTCTGCTGATTTCCATAGCAAAATTATCTTAGGTACAAATGTGTGCACCAGATTTTATTGAACTTGAAGTAGAGTTTGAACTTGAACTGAGTTTGAAATCGGCTCCTGATTGACCCTGGAGCAGGCTGGGCTTGGGATATTCCTGCATTCAGTGAGAAGTTCCTCTGAAACAAGAGGCTCCTGACACTTTGAATGCTGTAAACAATTTTCACAACAGAAACTTATTTTGAGTTCTCCTACATAAAGTGAAATAAGCTTAACTTCCTTCACTGCCTGCAAGCACCAGGTAGAGAAATCTTTTTCTGATGACCCTCATGTGTATAGGAGGGAAGATTTATTGGAGAAAATTGGTTTAGGAATTTGGAACTGTAGACATTGAAAAGTGCTAGAGGTTTTAATATATCAAGCAAATGCTTTTCTTTCTCCATAGCAACTAACTGAATAACTGAAAATCAATGATCATACATGAACTCTAATATTACTAACAGTAGTGTTCCAAGAAACATGTATTTGTCAAGCTTCACCATGGAAAAAATCCAGAAATAGATTTTGCTTCCATTCACTCTTTTATTTCATTCATTAATTTCATTTATTCTTCCCTTCTTCATTAAAAAATGTGAATTGCAGTACAGTTTTAATGTTTAAGTGTACTTGGATGCCTTTGCACAATGCAGTGCATTTTATTTCCTAGTATGTGATTACAGGAGAACTGAAATCACTGCTGCTGGATGCTGCTCAGGTCATAAATAAGAAAAGGGATGGGCAGTAGACAAAAGCCTTGATTATTTACTTATTGGCAGAAAATGCTGCACTCCTTGTTATGGGCCTACAATAAATTCTGTGCCTACTGCAGCATGTAAGAGTATTGTACTTCGAGAAAACGAAAAAACTCAGAAATGAAGGTGGTGTTAAATTGTTCCTTAGAGGTAGCTGGAATCAATAGAAGATGTTGATTTAAAAGTCTTTTGAAATGTTTTATGAACATATGGTTCATGACAGCTTGTTTGGAAGTTCAGTCTGGTTAAGTTTCACAAAGCATCTTATGGAAGCATTACTTTTAAAATAAATTATCTTAATAATTTACTGTATGTTTTAGAGAGCACCAAATCATAATCAGTTTTCACAGCTTTATGTTTTGTGGATATTAACATTAATTACTGAAGCTGCACACCAATTTTAGTTTGTAGTTTCCAGCCTGACCCTAGACAATAATTAAATCTTTCTTTCCATAATTCATGTGATTAAGGGGTTTCAGCAGTGTGAGATAACTGCATCCCAAATACACAGGAAAATATTTTGTACTGTCTACCAGAGAGTAAATAATGCACCTCTAAGCTGTGTTTTGGATCTCCCTGGACAATCTTGTCTCTATGGGCTTAGTTAAAATGATCCAGATCTCTGCACACATGACCATTATTCAGAGTTAGGTTTTAGCCAGGGCAGTCCTACAATGTTGCTGCTCCATATTTGAAATTCCAAGGCTGTCTTGGATATGTTTTCAAAGACTGAACTTAATGGGGAACTGTAAGGAAGTAGTTTTGCTTTCTCTTTTAATAAACAAATCCCTCCTAGGCCCTAGACAGGATCATTTATATTATATAGATACAGGCTTG